CATGAAATTTCAATCGACTTGCTGAAATGGGTTTCTGAAGTGAACGGATTATTTAAGCAGGGTAGTAGCATTGATTGTCTGCGCTTCAAGATGCCGACCTATTTACTTTGTAGCCCCTTGCAAAAAGCGTACTTTGTAAAAATGGTTACGTGAGTAGTATACACTTCTACATTGGTATTCGATGCACTCGTAAATTCAAATACATTTTTACTGAAAATGCGAATTTAATATTTTTATTCATACTCCCTAGACAGCAAATTATGCCTTCTTAAAATACTATACTTGAAGAAAGGGTAGCTTTTGCTTTTATAAAATTGTCCAATGATGAGCTTTTATAAGATCGTGAAATGTTCATTCATAATACCTCGTATCCATCAAGTTGCCTATAAAACATATGCTATGATACACATCCATCCATTTATTACGAACTCTCTTCCTTAGAACGTAGAGAAGTGCTAGGTTTTCCGTAGGCATAATGTATACAGCATGCAGTTTGGAAATCTTGGGTCGAGATGTTATGGCTGGTAGCGTTAAAATTATTTGACTTATTAGATCTGTTTTTAAAGCCGAAAGATACTCTCCTTTCAAGTATAAAAGTAGAAGGGGGCGAAATTTATTACCCGATGAGCATAAAAAAGTGTTTGTTGTACTTTTACTATAAGGTATATTGAAAATAAATAAGAACAATACTTACTACTTAAATGACCTTTATTACAGAGCATGTTTTTTGCGGGTGATCAGTAAGTAGCTCGTTCAAAAGCTAGTATCCTGAGGTAATTACGGGGCACTTCCAATCGTACTTGAAAAATTTTAAAATAATTCCCGATTTTGCAGTGGTTTCAATCGATTTTCCACAAATGCCCAGCAGATGGCCTATCTCAGGAAATGTCAACCACCATTCTGAAATGAGTTTCTGGATTGAACAGATTACTGGCGTAAGGTAGTAACATTGATGATCGTCACTTTAGAATGCTAGTTTTTGAACTGCCTACTTTTGGGCCGCCTACAAGGAGCATAGTGTGTAAAAATGGCTACTCAAGTACTGAGCATTTTCCATATCAATGCTCCATACGCTTATAGATTCAAATACATAAGACGCGAATACAAGTACTCTTTCTTGTATTCCTTGGTTAGGAAATTATGCCGTCTTCAAATTTTATGTTTGAAGAAAAAGGTACCTTTTTTAGTTTTATAGCAGTTTCTAATTATGAACACTTTAAAAATCGTGACATGTTCATTCATAATACATCATATCCATCAAGTTATTAAATTTCTCTATAAAATATACAATATGGTTCATATAAGTTGCCGAGTTTTATAAGAACTATGTAATCTCTTCCTCACAGCGTGGATAAATTATGGATATTCCTTAAATGTTGCTTTGAAATCCTGGATTCAAATATTATGACCAGCATCGTTAACAGTATTTGGCTAATTTGAAACTTTTTTAAAAGCCGATAGCTACTCCTTCAAGTATAAAAGTACCATGGATTATGGGCCCCCGGTCTATTAACAAGTGCAATGATCCCCCCAACCAAGATTTGTTTCTGAACTTTAGTTTGACCAAACAAATTAGCCAATCGGGGAGTGCGCAGACGAGCTCATTTTCCAACGCCAATGTCTGTTAGCCAAGCGGCTGAGTAATCGTCACGTAAAACTCTAATACGGGTGATGAAAGTTCAGCAGATAACGATGCTCATGCCGGCCAGTTAGCAATTAGCACACCAGAGGACAACTGTCGGCGGTGAATGGGGAGCTGTTAATTGTCATTGGTATACAATGGCATAACGACTGTATCCGATAAATACTGCAACTCGCCGTGTATGAAGTACCTGCATCAAATGCGGTCTCTGAAGATTGATTCGAGCTGGAATCTGAAACGTCAGGCGAAGAAGGTTCAAGTCCCAGCGATCATGTCTACTCCTTTTCAATGAGTTTCGGCTTATGATCCGTTCTTCGGGCCAATTTAAAGGAGACAACCGCCTTATCGAGTTGGGTGGTTTGTGTCGGTAGGGAGACGCTGTCTTGTAGACCGCAAACCCTTTCAAAGGACATCTCCTGAGATTATTAGGAGGTTTGACAGATTTTCTTTATTTGAGTTGACCCAATTGTGAAAAAACTCGAGGCGTTCTTCCGCTGGTAAAGGCCTTCTCTGATACGCGGGTTCAAATCCCGCCGAACCCCTCGAGTTTTTTCACAATTGGATCAAATCAAATCTCCTGAGATGTTTGCTTTTCTTCCATAAATGCCTATTAAGGTAAAGGTTCGAAGATTACCAACTGAACGAACACTTTCTTCTTGTCTGATACATTCACTCGACCCGGGCATTCTGTCAGATACTGGCCATTCATAAACCCTGGTGAATCAGCTAAATTAAGTCTGGAATTCTCACACCTCTCCAGTCGACAGTCTCGTACTTTGTTTTAAGGAAATGCGCAATTGGCTCAGTAGTTCTGCCCATAATTGCCCCGAATTACTCGCTTTCTAGGTTTCCATGGCCGTTTAGGTTTTGTGTGAAGCAGCACAACTAGGCTGACATTTGTATTGCAGGCCTACAGAAAGAATTAGGTGGAAAAAAGAAACCAGTGCCACGCCATAAAGCTTAATCACCGGCAAAATAGGAATGGGATTTGACTAAAAATAGCGAAGGATTAGGTCTCTTTCCATGGTTAGCTTTTCATTTCATAATGTGTGCTATAAGCATGCGTAAAAAGCAAAACATCTTCGCTCAACAGAATCATGCTTTTATTCATCTGAGCTTTTGAGCTCTCACTGGTGTCCATCGCCACATAAAAATGGCAACATAAAAAGTAAAAGTTATAGGGGGTAGGGGCTAATCAAACGCCAGTAACGCCAGTCCGGAGGTAATTGCGCAGGTGTTTGTGTGTCGGCGCGGGATCGATTAATCAATTGACTGAGTTCTTATCGGAGGCGCAAGCTTCGATCAATTCTCTGCTTGCCTTGATTCCGGCATGGAGCCTTATCGTCGTGACTGCGACCCTAAACACATGATCTCTTTTGTATGTGTGGGCAGCCACTTGTGATAACCCGTCATATGCACCGCCCGAACCCGGGGGCAACATGAAGGGGGAGTCGTTAATTGTCATTGATATGCAATATTATAACGACTGTATCCTATAGATGCTGCAACTTCCTGTGTATTAAGTACCTGTATCAGACGCAATCTCTGAAGATGGATTCGAGCTGGAACCAGGTGAAGAAGGTTCATGTCCCAGCGATCGTGTCCAAGGCGTCTCAATGGGTTTCGGCTAATGAGTCGTTCTTCGGGCGCGATTTAAAGGCAGCAGCCGCCTAAGACTGGTTGGGTTATCAGTGTTTTCATTCCAATAGAACTAAAACATCTATTGGGAGGCATGCTGTTCTTCCAGAAACATCTATTAAAGTATAAGTTTGAAGGTTACCAGATGAAAGGACACGTTCTTCTTGCTTGATACAGTCAGCCGACCGGAGCATTCCATAAAGTACCGGCGTTTCAAATTCGCGAAAATTCACATTACAAATTTCAGAAGATAAATTGGCGAACATACGCTCGTTTTCGATAAATTCTGGCCAGATATTTACGTTTGTACAGTACTTAAGTAAATAAACCATGTGGGATGGTAGAAAAAATAGTACGGTTGTCAGGAAGGGGGGGGGGAATCGGGGTCAAAATCTGACCAGAATTTTCGGCAAAATTGATTTGTAGGGCCCCTCTAGATATCTTTTCTCCCCACCCAACTGCTTAAAATATTTTGTAGTAAAACATTTAATTTTTGGTTAGTGAGCCTAAATTAATGTGTAATTGTGGCGGAATTGATCAAAAAATATTAAATTAAATAAGATTATGTTTGTTTAAATATGCTAAATAGAATCAAATTCAGTCAACATAAACTTCTATTGCTTAGGATACGAGTGCTAATCAATGGAAATTTGACCTTATGCAGGCGGAATTTAACCAAAATGGAAATTCGTCCTCCTATTGGTGGAATTTAACGAAAAAATTTAAAGTCAGGCCACCGAACATTCCAAAGTTGTTTTTTAAATCATGAGTCGACGCGATTTTTGCGGCCTCTAAAACCAATCTTGCCGAATATTCTATTGGCCTTTTGTTAACTCTGACGAATCAGCTGAATTAACGCTGAAATCCTTGTGCATCCTCTTAAACCGACAGTCCCTTACTTTGTTTTAAGGAAATAGGCAGCTGGCTCAGTAGCTCTGCCCACAAATGTCCCGAATTACTCGCTTTCTAGGTTTGCATGGCTGCAGCAGCAATAGGCTGACATTTAGACTACATACCCTCAAAAAACCTTGGGTTGAAAAAATAAAACCGCTGCATACAGCAAGTGCCAGGCCATAAAGCCGGCAAGGCAGCTTGTGATAAGACTAAAAATGGCGAAGGATTACGCCTCAGCCCCCAGTCAGCTTTCATTTCACAATGTGCGCTATACGGATAAGCATACGCAAAAAATGCAAAGTCTAGTTGCTGAACGTTCCCTTGTCCCGCTCTGCCTTGGGTCTCGACAGAGGCCCCGACAGCCGTACAGCTGGATGTAGGCAGATAGTATTGCCGTTAAAGGCAGGGGAATTTGCAATGACCATTTCTGGCT